TTTACCCTTTTACTCGTGATGTGTCTACCTTTTACCCTTTTACTCGTGGGATGTGTCTCTTCAATGTGACTTTTCATTAGGAAACGTGACTCCTACCGTTGAGACATGACTCTTGCTTGGTGAATCTGCCTTTTCACTCGTGGGATGTGACTCTTCTGAATGTTTTTTATTACTTTTTATTACGAGACGTGACTCTTGTCCCTGAGACGTGACTGTTTGGTACCCAATTGTGACTTTTCTGAGTTTGACGAACTCGGCCTTTCCTTGACCTGGGCTTCTGACCCTGAAGTCCGAATTTGGGGTCTGAATCGTGGAAGGCCTTTCACCAATGACTTTCGCATGCATAATAAGCATTGGTGACCTGGGCATCTGACCCTGAAGTCGTGGAAGGCCTTTCGCCAATGAATTTCGCATGCATATATATATTATGCATTGGTGAAAGGCCTTCCACGATTCAGACCCCAAACTCGGACTTCAGGACATCCAGACCCAGTCTGCATAATAAGCATGGTTACGATCCGGGCATCCAGACTGCAGTGCAGACGGTCTGGGTCTGGATGTCCAGGTCTGGTCTGGTGTCTGGTCCAGACTGTCCAGGTGCATCCCCCCACCCCCACCCCAAAAAAATCCGACTTCAAAAAACATTTAAAAATCTGAAAAAAGGATATGTTGAGCAGCATTGCAATACAAAAATCTTTTGGCTGCGGACCATCTCGAAATTCGTAGCCAAATCCTAGGGAAAAAAAACTTAAAAGCTAGTTTTTCAATCCTGACGATCGGGAGCAGTCCAGACACAAGTCCAGCCAGACATTTGGACTGGTCTGGTGTCCAGGTCTTTTTTTTTTTTGAAAAGGCTTTTCAATCCTGACGATCAGCAGCAGTCCAGACACAAGTCCGGCCAGAGATTTGGACTGGTCCGGTGTCCAGGTCTTTTTTTTTTTTTTAAAGGCTTCGATAAAATTTGGAACCATACAGAGAAAAAAAAAATAGCATGGCCCCTGCGCGCAAGGATGACACATAAATCAAGAGAAATGGTCCAAATTAAATTATAGAGAAAAAAATGGAAATCTCTCCAAGTGGATGGATGGTCCACCACCGAACTGTGCAAACAAGATTCCACATGCTTCCTCTTGCATCTACAACAAACATTTACCTACAGCAAATATTTATCTACGGCAAATATTTCCACCACCGAACTGTGCGAATGAGATTCCAAATGCCTCCTCTTGCATCTACAGCAAACATTTACCTACGGTAAATATTTATCGACGGCAAATATTTATCTACAGTAAATAATAAATATTTATCAGATATGGATGTTTGCCGTGTGTTGTCATGTTTTCTAACGGTCTTGAGATAACATCAATGAACTGACCGGCCTTGGGTAATTCAGAATTGTTTTATTCTGTTCATCCAGTCGCACTTCGATTCGAACTTCGGTCTGTATTTCGACCATTCATGGGTGTACCAACTGCGCTGCTGGGCTTGTTTTTTTTTTTTTTTCCCCCTTTGAAACAGTTTTCACCTTTGGCAGTAGCCGACGCAGATCCCAAGGGTCGATCCCTTGACCTCAGCTTACCTGTGTACAGTACCTGCACAGTTCCCTGGAGTTGAACCCGTGACCTGCACGATAGCCAGTGGTAAGTAGGTCGCCGTAGGTTGTAGGCTGTAGGGAGATTCGAACTGTAGACCTGTAAGGTAGGAGTCCAAGTAGAGTCCAGAGGCCTAGCTTTAGTCCTG